TGTGTGTGTGTGTGTATGTGTGTGTGTGTGTGTGTGTGTGTGTGTGTGTGTGTGTGTGTGTGTGTGTGGGAAAAGATGATGGTTGAAAAAAAAAATTGTAAACAGCAATTAGTTTATCTTGGCATGACTGTGCATTGTTATTTGTTGTGAAGCGATAAGGTCTATCAAAACTTTGATCTCATTCAAGCAGTTTGGTTTATCGTGTATACTGAGTAGCTTCGTTTGTGCACAAACACTCATGGCCAGCCTGAGCCAAATATGCCCATCAACAGACAAGCCAAGTGTGTTTACGCAGACACACACACACACAGGTCCTTGAGGAGCCCTTGAACATAGCAACACACACTAAAGAGGATGGCATGCTACAGTTGAAAGATTATCGGTCAAAAGCATCGTCTATAAATAACTGAGCGATGGGGGAGGAAAGTACAGGCAGTTTTTTAATGAGTGTCTACTAAAGGAAAGTTGACTGTGGACATTAGCAGGTCAACTGGGAGCATGTGTCCAATCCAGATTGTCTTTTTTGCTCTCTGTGTTCGTGTGCTGCAGGTAGCTAGTGGGCATCAAGATATCAGACAGGGAAGTCTCTTCTAACTCCAATTAACCTTCACTAGTTTGACCTACTTTAACTATTAAAATAGCATTCTCCCTACTCTACCCAGTGCTATATTTGGCAGAGGAGACTTATTGTTTAATGTTTAGTTGAGGGCCCAATTTTCTTAAAAAAGTTGAAGTTTTGACATGTCAATGAGTGAGGTTAAAGAATCCTCTATTAAACGCCCTTTCCTTGATGCAATGTTTGGGCTATCGCAGACAAAATACATTTTGAGAGATACTGGGTGACATCTATAGTCGTAGATCTATAGGTAACTAAATTGTTAGGGAAACCAAAACTGGGCTGCATCAAAACTCTTACAGTTTTTGCTTTGGTGCTATATCAGAGAATAGGACATCAAATGATGCATAACTGGCAAGCTGTTGTAATGCTATTGCTAAAAAAAACTGTTAAGCCCCAAGGACCCCCTCGGCGGGTCCTTTTTTTGTGTGTTCACGACACTGTGTCTCAGGGGATCTTAATATTTAAGAACCTATTAATGTGTTATACCAGATTAACGGGAATAATCTCAGCTAACTGACGATACAAAAATGTTTACCAAAACAAAACACAAGTCTCATAAGAAGCATCTAAATGACCCCTGAGCGAAAAATGCTAACGCACTTTGGCACATAACTTAAGATAAAAGATACCCTTATTACTTATCGTAGCTGCACATACAATATATCCGATTAAAGATGAGGTTCCACAGATTATTTAGGTATATAGTATCATCACTGAGTGATCCGAACTCGCGACAGGGGAAGCAAACTCAAACATCACAACACGTACCTTTACGTAGCTTTTACGGGAGATCCTCTCACCGTAGCTGTCAATCTGATCAAAAGACTTGTTTAATGGCATTAAAACGAGATGAAACGCGGCTGAATCGGTTAATCCATAGGTTGATAATGTTTCTGTGGAATAATTAGTTTTATTTATAATCCATAATTCCATTTGTATGTAAAAATCGGAGAGTAAAGATTAGCTGCTAATGGTAGCCACCAGAGTTATCGCAGCTTCCGGTCTTGGCGATGCGGCAGTCTCACACACACACATTACCAAATAAGGAGTATGTGGGAGTTCCCCTCGATTCCATTGGCTCTGACGGTTAGAAAGAGATGTCAATCAGCAAAATCGAACAAGGGGGGCCAGAGATAGGTCAAATCCACCCAAATGACCCCAGAAGTGGGTTTCTTTTGCTAAATCTCTCTAAAAAGGTCAAATTTCACTTGTTTTGCATCAATCTTGATACAGGGTACTTATTATATGTTGTAGTTTTGATTCCTAAAGCTTTTAGTCAACCATCCCATCATTCAAGGGTGGTTTTCACTATAAGTAATTTTTTTGGACGGACATAATCATTTACATTTTTTTACTGTGTTCAATCTGAATTTACTTTAAAATAAAAACATCTATATTGATTTTGACACTTCTATATCCAACTCACAGGTGTCACCTTGCTTTGAGAAAAAAGATTATTAATTGAACCCTTTTAGAAGGGAAGATATGGTCATTTATGTCATTTTTGAGCCTGAGACCTGAAAAACAGGCTCAGGGTTTAACAGGTTAAAAATACAGCATTTTCCTATAATCAGTTAGTCAAATCCAGCTTCGTGTTGCATTTATTTCCTTGGCATACTCTCCTCCTCTAGCTCCTCTTTTGATTTGTTTTGAACTACGGAAATGGAAGAATGCATTTGTCATTTTCAAAACATCTGAGAGTAAGCTTCTCTTTTTCACCACTTAGGACAAAATGTAAGGCATGGTCAACTAAGCTATATCTAAAGGCTATTTCAATTGAGCATGTTACAGTGCTGGATAACAACATTTTCTACAAGCCCTGCCTGTTCTTAAGCAAAGAAAGTTGTTATATTTTGAAATGTTGATTCTACAAATGTTTATCGACTCCTTCAACCCTCTTGTCACATTCACAGACAGCATAATGGTGTTGCCATGGATGCATCACGGGAGAGTCTTGTTTTTACTTCCAGCGTCTCTGCCTACTTTTAATTGCCCTGCCATAGTCCCAGTTGTGGCTTAATGTCATTAATACTTCAGGGTGTGGCAGTAACAATGTTTTAGTCATCCATAGCTGAGCTGCCCCTTGTTGGCCTGCACACTTTATTTAAACTCTTGACTCTTGAGTGTCAGGTGGTCTCCTCTGAGGCTGCAGAGAATGACCTCCGACCTGCTGACCTGTACTTCAGCACAAATGGATTAACAGTGACAGTGGTGACAGTCAAAACACACAGAGGTAAATCCCATTTGCCCATCATCTTCCTGTTCTAACTGCCCCCGATGATTACTTTGTCAAAAAGCAAGACGAGATGCTACACACACACACACACACACACACACACTCACAGACACGTCACACCCACTTACTACGCCCTTCCCTCAATATCAGTCACCAGCATATAGGGGCCCCTCTTTTGCCCCTCACGAGTAACATGATCCATGGACGACCTGAGGTTAGAGTTGGAATCCTAACCCACAGTAGTTGAAGACAAAAGAGTGACCGGTCACAGTTAAATGCTAACATGCAAACCATAAGGTGGTAGGATTATGGATAACATTCCTTCAAGCCTGGTCAAATAACCTAAAAGGCAGCTCTTTGTCATGAGGTCGCATCAAATTTTAGGTAAAAGCCCCTTCAGAACAAGAAATAGCTTGTATCACCACTGTGCAAAACACTGCTACATCTCTATGGAGGCTTTGTTTCTGCACTACACATTGACTTTCATTCAAAACATCTCTACCAGCTGTTCTGTATTATGACACATTCAAATCCTAGAGTGATGCTGAGAGGGTTGTTCAAAGGGCATTTTTTAAAGACAGGTGTTTGTATGGAAAGAGTTAGCATACATGCCTGTGTTGTAATGAATCTGAAGTCAGTGCTTCTGTAAACCCAGAGCTGGCCTTGGGGCTATGTGGGAGCTATGCATCGCAAAGTAACACACTGCATTCCAGTCTACTCTATCACCTTGTCTTCAGCTGTTGGCCTCCACTGAATGATTGAGTGAATGACTTGTATGAAACAAAGCTTTAATAAGGAACTCCCAGCCCCACCTAGACCTGCATCAAGCCCTCAACAAGTACAGATAATAGAAGTAGTCAGGTCGTGCCAAGCAATAACAGAGGGGATTAGTTAAATGTCTGGTAGCTGTCACGTAGAGCGTACCCACTAAACTAGACTATCAGTCCGTGTGTATGTGTGTGTGTGTTCAATCCATTGCTCATCATACATCACATTCGCTTGTGTCTGGAAACTGCCTGCCTCACATTTCCCTGCAACCAGTTTTTGTATCTGTGTGTTTGTGCGTGAGGGACTGAGTCACAGTCAGACCAAAGGCAGGGTGAATAGATAGGAAGGATGGCAGTAAAATGGGAACAAAAACTGATGACTCAGAACTCAAATCCTCCTCTGTCACCAACGTTCAGCGGAATTAGGGTTTGTCATGTGATTTTGTACATATGTTATAGCCAAATTATATTACCAAAGACCAAGCTGGAAATAAATGGGACACAAAATCCCCTAACAAATGTGTTTGTCAATACAACCACATAACAACCCATTGAATAGGAATTAGTGATATAAAAGTAGAAGATAAGCACTCACTCAAAGGCTCTATTGGAGGTCTGTATCAGAGCAGACAAAATTACAGGCATATCTCTCAATATTTGCGTAGCTGGCAGAGAGAGAGAGATAGTGTAAGTTAATGTATAACCACTGAGTGTGGGACTACAGGAGGTAGCTTTACAAGGGCAGCAAAACAAATCAGAAAACAACAAGAGTCAGAACAGGCTGCACCAAAGAGAATTGATTTCTCGTTTGTCTTTGAGTTGTCCAACTTTGTTTACACGCATATAACAGAAAGAAGAAATGGGGGGTTAGGGTTCGTGTAAGAGTTTTAAGGCCTCCTGTGATCTCTGTATCCTTTGAAGACCTGAACACAGATGGTGAGTCCGTTGAGAGGAAATCCATCATTTCTGACAGGACTCAACAACACCCCGATTACCATAAGTGTGAAACTGTGAGTCCAGGCAAACTTAGGCCATGTGCCACCAGTCTCTCCTCCCTGGTTCTCTCAATGGACAAAATGTGACAGTCACCTTGGACCTGACCAGCATCTCTCTCCACACCAAGGACTATCTTATTATGATAGAGCAGCAAAAGTCCATAGGAAAAACACAACAACAGAAAGACATCAATTCAAAATAAGACATCAAATGAAATTAATTCTAAATCATGGTATAAAGGGGATATTTTGCCATATATTTACTTTTAGAATATGCACATTACATGTCTGTGGGTCACTTTTAGACGTTTATGTGACCAAATACCAGAGTTGTAGCACTAATAGTTCACACTATCAACAGGTCATCAGCACTGCAAACTTACGGATTGTGACTTTCTTGGGATCAAACTGGCGGATTTCTCCCTGCAGCCTTTGCAGTCTCCCCTGAATCCTGCAGGATCTTCTGAACACCATGCCTGCCTCCATCTCGATGGCCAGGAAGATGTCGCTGGCATGTCGAGAAAGGTCGGAAAGTTGGTGAATAATGTTTACAAGTGTATGACAGCCAACCTCATCCAATGAAGAGAACAATACGGGTTTTCGCAGTTTGCCTTTCCCGTTTTCTTCCCTCGGTATCCAGCCATCACACGGCGATAACCTGCTAACACGCCGCGGCTCAATGCTCCTCTGATGAAAGGGCATATTTATTTCATACCAATAACTCCAGCGGGACCAAACACTGTTCGCGCAAAAACCTTACAGCTTTTAAAACAAAATCCAAGACTCATCGCCGTCCTGCTATTATTTGCGAAGCAGTAAAATCCTTCAATCCCGCCATATTTTTGTTTTTCAAAGCATGGGACTTTGTGCTGCTGTACACTGGAGACGTTGCCTCCCAAAGTCTATTCAAATTCAACCCGACTGAGTGCAGGCTGGAGAGAAAAGAGAAAAAAACACAAGGAAAGTAGGGGGGTAATAAAAACCCGGAGAATACTATAACCACCTGTAGCAACTGGAACTGGAGCCAGATATTCAAACAGAGGCTTTACCTGAAAGTCAGTTACACGGTCTGATGGAAAACATGGACCGGAGCTTCTCCAAACTTAACCGGACGGGCTGGGGTCACCAACAGACTGAAAAGATAGAAATCACAGCGTGAGGTTTAAAGTTAGTATATTTATCATGGTCTATAAACCACTATGTCTAAGAATAGTAACTCACATTCACTTTGACTCCTTATTTCACAGCAATCCCTTCAATTATGAATAATATAATAACTTTAGACAAATATTAGGCTACATGTCACTATCGTTAGACACTTTTATACAAAGCGACTTACATAGGCTACTCAATACTGTGGACAATACCCACAGGAGCCATTTGGGGTGAAGTGTCTTGCCCAGGACATGCCGACTACAGTGGGGTTTGAACCTGTGACCCCCTGTTCCCACCACCAAGGCTCTATCCACTGCGCCACACGCCTAATATAACCTTTAATTCCCTAATTTAATTTTTAATGTAAATACCCAGACAAATATTATGCAAATTCAGGTGAAGAGTTTGGGACAATTAATGTAGGCCTACCTTTTATTCAAATTGAATAGTTCTACTCCAAGTAGCATAACAACTTCACAGTAATGTCACATTAAATGCAGATCTAGCCTAACGCCTAAAACTCATGGAGATAACATTTACTTTTTTTAAATGTAGCCTATCTTTCTTTTGAAAATGTGAATAAATAAACCTAATTAAATGGACATTATATAAGGACATGATGTACCTGTTCGTTTAGGATGTGTTGTGGCATGTTGCAATTTCCATAATTAGCTAACCTAGCATTGCTAAATTACCGTTTCGGGTTATTTATGCTTTTAGCTAAATTTAGCAAATAACAATAAATCCTGACGGCGTGGGCATTATTGTTATCTGTTGCAGCTGGTGAAACTATATTTTCTGATATGTAGGCCTAATGAACGGCCCACCAAACACCCAGGTCGTCAGTGGACAAATTAAGCTTACTTTAGTTAAAATTGTAACATTAAGTAACCTACAATACGCAACAAAGAAAATGTATGTAACAAAGCAAATGTTGGATGTTTGCTCATACCTCTTAAAGAACTCTTGGACAACACATTATGTGAACACTTGTCTGATTGATCTCCTCTCAGTGTTACACAAAGCATTGTCCTGTCCACGGCCTGGCATTCCCGCCGCCGCTCTTTAAATTCCAAAGAGCAAAACGAGCATACCTTTTACACCCTTTAGCTTTAAACCTGTGGCCTTACATTCTTATAAAACAATGTCCAGTTGCTCGAATGTGTCTCTGTAGTGTTAATTGTGCCACCTGGTGTCTTCAAGTGCACACAGCACCTCCATGAGAGTCTCAGTAACAATTAATGCAAGTGTTTAGTACGCTGTCAATTTTGTCAATACTTAGTGGAAATGTAAGAATTCCTCTCATATTGGCAGGCCCGGACTGGCCATCGGGAGGACCGGGAGGTTTCCCGATGGCCTGGCCTGCTAAGTGGCCTGCTGGCCTGAGGGTTCTTTTTTTTATGTATGTATTGTGAACGCAACGCTGCGCAAACTGCCTCACAGAGGGTGACTGGCTGTCTTCATGATGTGGCCTGCCGACATGGCCACTTTCATACAGATCGTACTAATGCCCTCGATTGGTCTCTGTGTGTCATTCAAGCTCGGGAGGGTATGTATGTGTGGCGCGAGAGCGATAGAGAAAGCGCGTGCACCGGTTACGTGTATTGTTGTTGTTAGCATCTGGTGCTAGCTAGCTGCGCTAACGCATATCATGAGCTGTCAACAAGGTGGAGGAGAGTCCTCTCCAGTCAGACTCAGAGACTGATAACTACAGCTCAGGTGAGGTAAAGAACTCTGAGTGTTTAGATAGTTAACTTAGTCTAAGTTCTCTGTGGGTCTCAAACGGTTTGGTCACCATTTATGTAAACACATATTTCCATTTGAAGGGGGAGTGATTAGTAAAATATGGATGAATAATAAAAAAAACGTTTTAACTAGGTGAAAAAAGGTAAGATAAACTTGTTAGCTCAAACTAGTCTTTGCTGCTGCCTCAAAGAGGAGCAGGGGGAGAGGAGGGAGACAGGAGAAGCTGGTTCAGGAGCACAGACACACTCGCAACTATAAATGAACCAAAAACAAATAAATAAACAAGTTTCAATGTTTTTTCATATTGGATATGGTATGTTATTGGTTATGGCCATGTACTTATGATTTTATGATTATTGAAATGTATACAGTTCTGTTTCATATGGGTGTAGTCTCTTTATTTCCCCCTCAAAGTGCACCAGATTGATGCATTTAAGTTCAACATTTAAACAATCTTACCGGGGGAGCATGCCCCCGGACCCCCCTATAGGATTTGAGGTCCACCCCCACTTAAAATATGTTCACATAGGTTCCTAAATAGATTTGCACATTATTTTAAACATGTTTATTCTGGGTAGTAGATTTAAAGTTTAGGGCTATCACTACGGGCAGCAACGCTGTAAATATTGACAAATAAATCCAGAAAAATGGCACAAAAGAAAACTGGTAGTGGCCTGGCTGGGTGTATAATTCCCGGCCTGACTTATTTTCCCAGTCCGGCCCTGCATATTGGTATGCACACCGTGGCAACAGTTAATAATATATAAGATTGTTACAATTCTGCTACAACTGTCCTCTGAGCATAGTAACATCCCATGTGCATCATGGAAACATTTAAGTATATTTTCCTGTTATCCTGTATCACAATGAGTAATATCCGCATTTGTCCTTTCCTGCACCAAGGGCCTCTGAAGCGATTGGTTACACTGGTAATATTCCACCGGCTTAACTCTACATTTTAGTTTTTTAGATGGTCACTTTTGTGTTACTTTCCACCATGGAATCGTTAGCCATTGAAATGTACAGAGTCCTAGGGTCACATGGTGGTAAAAAAGTCTTATCTGTGAATCAGTGTCAATGGGTAGTTCGTGTTTCTAAATGTAATAGTACCTTACTCATTTTGGAATTGTATCTATTCTGGTTTTACTTTAAAGCCTAATATTACTAAATACAACATTACATCTGGTGTAGCCTACTTATTAGTAGAGTATGTCAATACCATTCTTAATGTCCTTGCATTTTGAACATTTTCTGACTTTTCATAGCAGGGTAGACACGGGTGGATCTAAATTAATTAATGCACCCTTAATTCATCTTATTAAATACACCTTTGGTTTTCCTGATACAATGTATGTTTTTTAAGCAGTTTATAAATTAAAGGTTTGAATTCATTAAAGCTTCATCAGACTAAATAAAAAATTGTGAAATTACAAAAGCAAACAAAACCGAGATGAACATAGGTTTAATCAAGATTAAATATATGCCCCAAAAAAAGATCTTGCAACTCATAAGAGAACTAAACAAGTCAAAACAATACAAAAAGATGAGCTTTTCTGTCTGTAATGTCAATAGTCTTAAACTTTCTACGAGTTTTGGACTTTCATTCGGGTTAAAATGTATACACATATCTCATTCACCATATTTTACAGAGCATTGATTCTCAAAACCATAGCCTTCTTCCACATCTAAAAACCCATACATAAACTCATTTATAGAATTATTTACATACAAGGCTTGAACAAGTCAACTCAAACCATTTGGTGAGCAATAAGAAAAACAAACATCACACATCAGAACATTTGGGAACTTTCTTGAACTCTATGGCTTGTTTAAGCCATTTTGTTTTTACAAATCACTGAATGGATGGGAGGCAGGAGTGGCCTTTAATTAAATAATATCGACTTTCAGCAAGGTCATTGGAAGATTATTCAATTTGCAAGTTTCTCCACCACTGTGTCTTTAAAGATTGGTTGCATACAAAGAAAATGTACAAACACAGCTCGATGAGTGATAAAGTAGCACACACTGCTTTAAATGCACCAAGGTGGTAGGTACATAAAGCATGTACATGTAAATGTGAAACTAAACAACAGAAAAAAGAAAAAAAATTAAGAATGGCAACAAATTAACTAAGAAACAAAAGTTGATTACACTAAGTTGTCCCAACTGAGTTAAGTAAGCAACCACGTCACCAACAAATACATCATCTTAGTTTATTCACAACACCTTCATCGAGATGACAATTTGAGTTCATTCATACCAGAAAGGGAAAAGAAACAGACCAACACTGCATTTTGTGTATGGAATTAGAGTTTCTTTGAGCGCCACAGAGATGTAACAATGTATCATGACCTCTAAAAGATGGGTTTTCTTTATTTTAAGGAGTATTTGTGTGTCAGAGCTGAGTGCAGCATCTCATAACTCAAACACAAAAACCTCCGGGGTTAATAAAGATCTAACATTTGTAGTAATACTAGCTCCTTTTCTTGATTCAATCATGTAGAATAATTAGCAAAGGAAACTGGGTGATTTTATGTAATCAGTAATGTAGAAACGAGAGAACAAATGATGTATTTGATCATGTTTTTTAACGTCTTATTCTGAATAACACAGTGAGATGCTTGAGTTTATAAAGCCCTAGGGCCTCACTTTTCCATGTGCATTTCATTCTACTGTATATTTACTCCTTAACACTCATGACAGTAACCATGGAATGACTTCTTGCCTGTCCTTCATACATTTTGCCAGCAGACCCCATTTCAAAATATCTACTCCTGGTGCTCTCTGTCGATCATATTATATTAAGAAATAAAGGGGAAGGAGGGACTGTTTTTGTCCAGAGATAAGCCAAAAAGAGCACTACTTCCACTGAACATTTTCTCAAAACTTCATATATGCATGGTGGCTAGGGGAGAGAATAACAGACTACTGTTTTACAACCACAAAAAAAACGGTGTTGTTAATGTATGAGAGAGACTTGGCAAAGGCTCTCTTGGACCAGAGGCATAGTGTTATGAAGTACATTTGCAATAT